CCCAAAGTCCACCTTCAGCATTCCCTGGGAATCTCGCCGCTCCATTCTCTTGCAGTTCTATTGCACCCCCTTAGTATTTGCCTTGGTGTGGCAGGATCAGATGGGGTGCAATTCCCACACTGTGTCTCTGATGTTGTCCCCTGTAGGGCTATGGGTCAGTGAGGGGCGTCCTGTCTCATAGTGGGGCTGGCCATGTGGTCCTCTCTGTGGACTGGCTGCTCTAACCTCAAGCCACCTTCTATCTGAACCTCTTGATCATTTTCTTCCTTCCTCATACCCTCCCACCCAGAACTTTCCTAGACTTTTCCATTTAAGGAATATTTTATGTGGGTTTTTTTTTTATCAACATCTGTTCTGCCACTGATGTTCCTGAAGAAATTCAAAATTACCTTCTAGCAAAAACTGGTATTTTTGATAATGACTTTTACATCTTCCTGCTTATTAGACTTTTAGATATGCACTTTAAGATTCCTCCGGGAAGATGGGGGGTGGGGAAAGGGGGAATTGATCTCAAGGATCAACATATAGGCTCCTCCCAGGGGGAAGAACAACAGAAAAGTGGGTGAAAGGAGATAGCGGACAATGTAAGATATGAAAATAATAATCTATAATTTATCAAGGTTTCCTGAGGGAGGGAGGGAGGGAGGGCACAGGAGGGAGGGAAAAATGAGGAGCTGATATTGAGGGCTCAACTAGAAATAAAATGCTTTAAAAATGATGATACAAATGTGCTTGATACAATGGATGAGTGTATGGATTGTGATGAGAGATGTAAGGCAGCCCCCAATAAAAGTATTTAATTAAAAAAAAAGATACCTTCTCCACAAAATTTTCGCTGATGATCATCTTGCAAACATAAGCATATTTCATTCATCCATTCTTTCTTGGCTTCTACCCTCCAGAACAGGACTAGATCTGGGGGATACAATAAAGCTCCTGCCTTCATGAAGTTTATGTGCTGGGGACGTGTGGCGGGAGGGCAGGAAGACAGTCAGCTTCAACATCTGCATGTGGAGTGGGCCCCAGGTGATAAGTGCAATGGAGAAAATAAAGCAGGGAGAGAGATGAGCCAGGTAGCTCTCTGGAAAGAGCAGCTGGTAGAAACACAAGTTAAGAGCCTGGAGGCAGAAGCATTTCTGGGTTGACTGAAGAACAGCAGGGAGCCCAATGTGGCTGAAGCAGTCAGTGTGAGGACAAGTACTAGACAGCTTTGTTTGCTTGCAATTAAACTTGTCTTATCACATTTTTAGTTTCCAAACAAACAAAACTCACATCCACTCATACTGACCCTCAAGGGCAGAGTGGAACTGTCCCCTTGGGTTTCCGGAACCGTAAATCTTTATGGTAGACAACCTCATCTTTCTCCCACGGTTCTGAACTGCTGACCTTGTGGTTACAGCCCCATGCATAACCCACTATGCCACCAAGGTCTGATAAGCAAAGCCCTAAATAGATACAGTTTTTCATTTCACTCAGCCTTCAGACTCACAACCCCCCAAGCTGCAATATCTATCTAGCAGTAGTCCTGCTGCAACCTGCTGCAGAAAGACAGAAAAGACACGAGGCCGGAAGGTCTGCAAGTGTGGAGAACTTCCCAGGGGCTGATGGTCCCCCACGTGTGGAGAAAGAGTGGTGTGACCGTGGTCCATTGTCCAAGTTAGGGTGCTGTGGCACAGAAGCTCCAGCATCACAGACCATCAATGACTCCACTTCCTCCCCCTTCTTTACAAAAATGTCAACTGAGCATACTGGAGAAGAATGGTCAACTTCATAATTTAAGATAACACAAAAGACTGAGCTTATTTTAAAAAGTTTACTAGGACAGGCAGCCATCTAAGTGTGATGTCAACTAAGTCCACATGGAAGCACACCAACATCAGTGACGAGAGGTTTGTAAATCTTATCATCTGAAACGGAAGGAGGGAATAGTATCAGAGCCTACACTGAGATTCTGTTTTCCAGAATGCTATGGATGACAGTGAGAGTCCAAGATACATACATGAGATCCACATGGAAAATAAGCTTCCAGTGATTTCCCTCTAGCCGCATTAGAGGGATGGGAAGAAACGGGTTACCAAACAGAGTGCCCTGGAGAGATGACTACAGCAGATCAAAATGAGGAATCTGATTTGAACGGTCACAGCCTGAGAGTCGACCCCCCTCTGATGCACGTTGGGCCTGATCTGGTTTGCAACAGTCTCTGTATTTTTCTGTTGTTTGATTGTTCACATTGGGGTTTATCTCAGCTGTGTTTTGTCATTGGGGGTGATGCTTGTGAACGCTTGCTATGTGTTTCTGTTTTGCAATATAGAACACACAGGACTGATGAACCTAGAGAGACAGCCAGCAGAGTAAGGGTTGGGGGTTGGGGGGCAGGTACAGTAGGAGCAGGGAGTCAAAGGGAGCTGATGTCAAGGAGTGCAAGAAGGGAGAGAATATTTTGAAACTGATGTGGGGGCAGCTGTACAATACTGCTTGATGTTACTGTACTATGGAACGGTAGGTTATCTGTATTATCTCCCAATAAAATGGTTTTGGGAGAAAAAAAGTTTACTAGGGTATATCTATTCCAGAAAGCCAAGACTATGAATATTCATATTATTTGCTAGAGTACTTTATCTTCTGGATTAAATTGATATATATTTTTTTAAATCCCCATTCCACAGGGCAGTGCCATACCTCTTTTACCTGAGAATATGGCTGAAATAATTGGCATTCACACTCTTTTTCTAGTCTCCCAAGTCAACAGTTAAATAATGCACAAGTATAAGCTTTGCACTCAGGATAAAAGCTAGTTCTTGGGCTCAACCTGCAAATCACAGAGACATCACACACAAATCTATTTTTATAATAATACACAATGGCCAATCCAAGGTATAACTAACTGGCTCCTATCAAATTTCAACCAATCTAAGACATTGCCTAAATTGTATATTCAACACTAATTCTTAGATTAATCAAAGAGTTTCTGATCAAAGAACTAAGCAATAAAAACGGAAGAAAACTAAGCAGCACGTAGGACGTAAGCATTACAAAGCGATGGTAACTGACGCACCAATGAACTTTTAAAAATTCAAAACCACATTATTTGCTTATATGATTTTTTCCTTACTTCATTATTTTCTCCAGTTTCTCCCTTCGCTCTATTCAGTCTCGAAGGCATCTTTAGATGTTTGCTGCTTCGGTAGTAGCAATTCAGTCCTAGGAAAGAACAGGGCATTGTCACTTTGTGAGAAGAGATCAAACACATTCTAGAAAGCTGAATCATCCAAGCTCTTCACTCTCCTAATTTTTTTTACCAGAACTGTACAGACACTGTGTGAGACAAAAAATGAAAGGAGATATAAGACAAACCATTTAAACCTATTAAAAATGCCCACATATATTGGAATCTATACAAGGAAGTAAGTCAAACTCAATGGTCTCTGATAAAAGAGCAGAAGAAAATGATCCATCATAATCTTTCATTCTAACTACTCGTCCATCAGAGTTGTCATCTTCTCTTCTGCTCAGTTTCATCGAGCTGTGCAGAAATAATACAATGCAGTGACGCATAACCCTACAAGGATTTTCTGATGGTCTTCACTCGAAGCCCTGAGATCTCCCTCATATAGATTCTAAAGGACAGAATTTGGTTCAGGCTAGAAAACAATGTCTTCATCTTTGTTTCTGACACTCACCCCTAGGTTGTTCCATGTTGCCCAGTGTCCATGGCAGGCACACTTATAACTCCTAGTGAATGAGAAAGGTAGGAACGAGGCTTCCAACAAACCACTAGAGATGCTTCACGTTATCTTAAAATAACATGGGAAGTAGATGAAAAATCGCTGCTTCTCTGCTCATCATCATCTCTCTTTCCCTAAGTATTCGTTTTGGTAGAGATGCCCATTAGTAGTCAAATGGCCCCAAAGTGAGCATACCAGAAGGCCTCTGGGCTTCAAATTCATGAGCTAAGTGCCTGAGACAGACAACGCCCAAGCATCATCATGCTAGAAACGAAAACGTGCTGCCACAGATTGCAGCCAGGTTGCAAGTCAAAAGAGCATCTCTCAGCACAACAGCTCGTTATCTTTTTTTTTAAAATCATTTTATTAGGGACTCATACAACTCTTATCACAATCCACACGTACATCAACTGTGTAAAGCACATTCGTACATTCATTGGCCTCATCATTCTCAAAACATTTTCTCTCCACTTAAGCCCCCGGCATCAGGTCCTCATTTTTTCCCCTCCCTCTCCCCCCTCCCTCAT